AGATTAATTATATCTTAACTGAAATAAGTTAAGCATATACATCAAATGAAACTAACTCCTTTCACATTGATTGAAAGTAAAATAAAATAATATTTTTCATCATTAGTTTGAGTCAAAATAAACCAGAAATATCGAAATTCAGTCGATGAAACCACAAAGACTAAATAAGATCGATACGAATTTCAAATATCTAAAACAAAACTGGATAATTTTGAAGAATTATAAATTAATATAAAAAGCCTAGTTGTATTTTTGAAAAAATATATGACGTGCAATTTCTTCCACCATACCAGAATATAAGACGAATGTAACGGTTTCTCGCTCATATATATAGTATATATTAGCCATTGTCAGCTTACATGTCCTCTACACTAGAGAATTATTATTAATTACAGTTTTACAAACAAATACAAAAAATGTTTTTTTCAATAAGAATAAACGATAAAATGAATTTAACGAGATAAAATTCAAAACAATAATAAACTTAATCAAGTCAAATCAAATTGATTAGTAGTGTGCTGTTTTTATAATAAGCATCGCTGTATACAAAACGTGTATTTGCAATTTAAAAAGAAATTATATTTCTATTAGGAAGCATTCCATCACTTAAACACGTGTAGTAATCTACATCTATAAACCTATCGTTATAAAAACTAGTTTGCATGAGAAATATCTTAAAATTATGGTCTGACAAGATCCTACAATATCTTACAAGACTCCCATCCTCAGATCTTGCAAGAATCTTATATCAAGAATCATATAAGATTGACGCTAGCATCTTATAATAAGAATCATATTAAATCTTAGAACAAGAAATTTGCAAGATTTCGTAAGATCATACAATCTGAATCTTACAAAATCTAATTGTCAGTAAGATCGTATAAGATCTTATATGATCCTCGTACGATTTTTGCACCTGGGCACGTTTATCTCATAGCAGTATCATAAGTATTAGAAAAGTCAGAAAACGTATTTTAATACATTTTCAACAGAAATGCTTTAGGAGTTTAAGCATGAATATATGACCGATAAAAAGAAGATCGTTGAATTATTCTAATTTCAAGAAAAATAGATAGATTTTCGTATAGCATCTGATAATCATTATCGATTGAAAATTTAAAGAGATATTTGTGAAAAATTATTCTGCTTGAAATATGTATCATAAAGAACCATATATAGAAATATATTTCGGCTTCTTTTTCTTATTCAAATGAGTTAATAGAAAGCTGATATGTTTATCCAAATGAATTAGAAAAGTTAATTTTTTTCTTTCAGCTACTATCTTCTAAATCTAATATAATTATACAATAGAATTTCCTCCAATCACAATACCATTGCAACGAAGATGTAGCACATTGGAGTTCTGGACGCATTTTCTCATAGATTCAACTTCTTTTTTTTTGAAGTATTTATCCTCACTAACTAAACTATATAACTATATGTTCAACTGCGTTTCATAAAGCAATGCATCCAGTGAAACACATTTTATCGACTCTGTCAATTAAATAGCATTAGCGAAAAAGACATAACTTCTTTCCATTATTAAACGTGATTAGAGACATAAAATGATATGAGTACATCCCAACATGTTTCATAATGAAAGGTGAAATACGTTTGTATGCATTTAGTCTAAAAATATGCTCCGAAACTATGAATTTTCTGTAAATGCGTTCGTAAAACACGGTGATCGGCGCATTTAGATGCGTTTCCGTCATGATTCCATATAGAAACACGTTGGGGCACCGATAATTTGCAACATAGACGCGTCTAGCTGCGCCTAAAATACGTTTCATAGTTACATGGGTATTCGACTCCTTCAAATTAGTTATATGTTTAGACTCACTGTCATTGCACAAAGTTCCATTCCACCAAAATTTGCAAACACACGTCCATTCACCGTCAAGATTATTGTAACAACGACCATTTCGTCCACATGGATTATATACCGAGCAATCTGGAACATATACATAGTTGAAGAGTAGATAATAGTGAATACAAATGGAAAACTTACTATCTCTAAGAACGGTCGAAGTTACAGTGGTATGATTGGTATCAAAGAATAGGTTGCCTTTTATCATCAATCGATGTTCTTCAAATGCCCGTCTGATTTTTTTTCTTCTGCCAATAGTAACAACATATCATTGTAAATATACTTGAGTATCTCTCCAATATGATATTTGAAATCATGTTTCAGAGCATTACACCTCTTGTTTTTCTCTCGTCAATACCTGTGGAATGATGAGAAGAAAAAAGAACGTTGCTGTTTTATTAAGTTTAAGTGTTTTTGAAGATTGTATAACAAATATATTGAAGCAAATATTATATAGTAATGTACTAACGATAGTATATAATGATTATGATTTAATCATCTGATGTCCCTTTATTCTATATCATCCATTGCTTATATATGAGCTGTTAGAGAGAAAGAAAAGAGAAAATAGCCAGACGAGGGAGTGACACAATCTAAACATGTGAAAAGAAGAGGTAGGTATAAAAACTAAACAAGGGGCAGCAATAGACAACAATAGAATAAAAATAAGTTGAGAATGTCACATAGTAATCCAGAAGATCGCCGAGAAGGTGTAATTACGGATTGACTCTAATATATCCGTCCAGCCAACCACCTTCATCCTTAGTTGACAACGAAACAGAAGAAAGAAATACGTATGTTATTCTTTATTCATCAACATTGAAAATCCACGATCTAATTCGTGTTAAATATTATATCCTCAAAGATCTTTGATCGACTTCAGTCAAGAGATGATGAAAAATGGTTCGGACCCAATGAACAAGTCGGCATGCTATACTCTATCACATGAGGATGTGGATAAGGGTGCTCTCTTAAATTATAATCGACATTCAAACAAAAAATTTGCTAGAAATCATCGTGTTATTAAAAGTCTCGAACGAAAGTTTGACAAATCTAATCAAATAACAAACTTTGTGATAACTGAATGAATAGTTACAACCATACCCATTGATGCTTTACACATCTGTAGAGCTTGTAAATCCATTTCACAAAAAGACTTTTCAGAGACTTCTTGAACTATTTCAAAACACTCAACCATATCGCCTAGGCCTTAGAATAACAGAATAATAAACGGAGATATGCATTTAACACAACCCCAATGTTCACACTCTTTCTTTTCAATATCACAATCGATTACAACTACCACAAAACATTAAAAAAAAGAAGTTCTACTCTCGTTAGCTATATCCTTAATCATCCTTTCACTGGTAATCTGCTCCATTCATCACAGTTGCAGATTACATATAAAAAACCTATAAAACCACTTTTCTATGAAACGTACCTAGCAAAAGTAATAATCAATGAAATATGTCATTGACTGTGTGTGCTTCGCTCTTCATATTGTCTATCATGCTTCAAGGTCATTCGCAGACGATGATAAAATCAAGAAATCATGTAATGGTACCAGTGAGATTTGGAAACAGAATTTTCACAATGGGATGTTTGCCGATTATTTTGCAATATTATTAGCAATACCTATAACAGATGGAATGATTGGGATAAGATAGATATGAATGGGGAGGAGGGGAAAGATGGGCACTAAAGGAAAAAAAACAGTTGAACAAAATTATCATCTTTTAAAATTGCATCTAAGCAAAGCGCACCTTCTGAAGATTGTTTACGGCAGTAAATCCAGTATACGAGATTTGAAATAATTTCATTGAATATCATCGGTTCTAAGAGTGTGCGTGTGGATGACAAAAGTCATCACACCCACACCCCATCTTCATTCATTAGCATTAATTCAAGTTGAAGAAAATAATTTACAAAAGTTAAAATTAATATTATCTGTCATGCCACAATTATATTCTTTTCATTTAATTGATTCTAATGATATTCACCTAATTGATCCATTAACATCTAATCTACAAATATTATCAAATCTAACATTATCATTCATTAATAAACGTTCATCAATTACAAATCTTACTATTTCTAGTTGTTCACTCGATCAATTATTCCATCATGTGTTTAAATATACACCAATATTAACTTATTTTAATTCTCAATATTTTTCGCAACATTATAATCAGACAATAAATTATCCAAATGATAATATAAATAAAGCTGTTCATTTAAAAGAATTAAGTATATTTAATTTTAAATATAAATTTAAAGATTTCAAAAGATTAGCAAAACAGATACCGAAATTAACAAATTTAACTGTTAGATCATTAAAACCGATTATTAATTTATCGAAATTAAAATATTTAAATATTTCATTTACATTTAAAATCAAAGATGCATATGTATTATTAAGAATACTACAAGAATCACCACAAATATCATCATTAATGATTAGTATTCATGCTTTAGAACATTTTGCATACAATAAGGAAATATGTTAATATTTAAATAAAATGATTAAAAAATTAGATATTTATAAATATTGTTTTTCTTCATTTAAATTTCATTATCAGATTGAAGATTTTTATAAAATGTTTTTGAATATTAAACAACTTAAATGTAATATTGATCAAACAAATGATTTATTATTTTTATTAAAACATTTACGAAAATTATCAATATTAAAAGTTTATTTATGACAAATAAATTAAATATTTTTGGATTAGTGAAAATATATAAATTAATTTTTTTTTAGTTTTTATTTATAAATAAAAACTTTCTTTCATTCAAGAACAAACAACATTTGATGGACTAATGATAAGATGAGCTTGACCATTTATAGCTGACATTGAACAGTTGACAGTAATAGATAGTAAAACAGTATGAAAAACAACAATTGGAACTATTTCACTAGATGTACCTTGTATAGTAATTGTGACTTGACTACTTTTTATATCCGAAACAATAGATATTATTCGTTGTTGACTAACAGCTGTCCATTTATTCCATTCACCAAGAAGAGCATATTGTGTTCCAGATATATCATTTAGTGGATGTAAAGGTGATACATACCAAAGACATATTGATAAATCATCACATTGAGTAGCTGAAATATTTAAAGGATTATCATCATCGAAAGTTGATATCATATTTCGATTATCATATGACCAAATAACTCCAGACTGAGCTCCAATCATTGAAGGATAAACTAAATAATCTCGTTTCATTGCTGATGCAAAAATTACATGGAATGTTTGATCATTACTAAAAATACAAAGTGATCATAGTTAGAAATTAATAGAAAGAAATATACATTGTTGTTCTTGTTGAATAAAGTTCACCTTGTGAAACATTATTGTAAAAAGCCCAATCAGAAATTAATGTATTAATCATTGTGAGTGGTCGATCGGGTTTCAAAATCAAACCATCTTGACGACAACATTTCATAACACGTGATACGTTTGTATAATTAATGGCATCACCTGATCCAACAGGTCCTGTTGATAAAGTAGCAATAAGAATTTCTCGTTCAGGAAGTATTTCCATAGGAGATGGATCATAAGGAGCATCGGGTTGTAATGAAGTAGACCAAAAAACATCTTTGAAAGGTGCAAGACCAAGTGCATCAACAAACATACTAGATATTCCTATAGTCCATTGTTGTACTTTACCAGTTAGATGAAAAGAATAATCAGTTGAAACTCGTGTTTGTGTAACACGTGGAATTTGTAAAGTTGTTAGAATATGACGAGGTAAACTCATACAATATTGAATATTTATGCCTATCATCTCAGCTGCTTCACCCATTGACATTAACCATTGATGTCCAAGATGAATATCAGTATATGTTGGTATAAAATGAATTGTTTGCACAATAAGCCAATCTTGTTCATAAAGAACAAGACCCCAATTATGTGCTTGTGTAAATAAATCAATCCAAAATGAATCATTTCCAATTGGTAATGATTTTTCATTAATTTCATCAAGAATAAAAGAATATTTATCTTGATAAACATTATCAATTGCCCAATATCGATTATGTGCAGCTAAACTAATATTTTCTAATCGACGATGTACGACTTGAAGACCATCAGGAAAGATATCTGGACGAGCTGTCCATTGAGTAACTCCATTTTTTATACCTTGATAATACCACCATGAATCAAGTTGAATGTAATGTAATGGAAGTAGAATCTGTTGGTGAATATCAACTATTGTTTCTTCATAATTAATTTCTTGTTCTGTATTATAATAATAATAACCACCAGCATCCGTATAATAGCCAAGATAATTGATGGTAAGATCGTTGAGACGATATTGATTAGTTCGATTATATACTCGTTGCATAGTTTCACCCCATTCTCTAATACATTGATTTATACCATGTGATGAATAGAAAACAATCATAGAATGATTATAATTTGCTGATATTGTTAATATTGAACCTAAAACACCGTATTGTAAAATGTTGTCCTTTTGACTCAATGAAGTGGCCATGAATCGAGAAAAAGGTGAAAGAACTAACACATCATCTTCTCCTCGTTGAGTCAAATTAAAAAGAACGACTGGACCACTTTCCATGCCCGAATGAATGACTTTACTCGATGAATTCCAATTACCTGCATGTTTGCCACCATCACCTGCCATAATTCCTAAATGAAGCTCATATTTGAAAATTAAAATAGAAGAGACAGATAATCTCACCTTCAAATGTAAAATAACCTCGTTGATCATTTATATCAATCTGTTCAATATTAAATGATGGAAAAATTGTACGAACATGTTTCATGTCGAGAGAAATTGTGTTTGTCATAATTTGATCACCAGTATTCAAATGAAATGTTATTGCTGAAACTAAACTCCATTGACGAATATGACCAACTATATTTGTATGGGTTTCATTTCGAAGAAGATCATAAATCAATCGAGTTTCATTCCAACTACCTAAATTTAGATCATAACCTTGTGCATAAGTTATATTAATTAAGGGAAGTGAATTATCAGCTGATGAATACCATTTATTGTCTACATATAAAGCTGTATGAGATGACCGAAGCCATAAGCGAGTGTTTATACTAATATTATATCCACCTTTTTGATCGATCAATACTTCTATGTCACATAAACATCCAATTATAAGAAAAAGAAATACGAGAAGATGCATATTTACTAACAGTTAAGGCCAGGTAAAGAGATAAAAATATTTCATATATGGTGAGATAACAGAGAGATACATTCCTATCTTGATGTCTTTTGTGACTTTTCTTGTCAGTTCTGAGCTTCATCACACTCCATATTCTTACTTTCAAATGTGTGTCTTCCTACGAAGGAACTGCCTGAGGTGTCCAACGTCGATTTCCTTCATTCATACGTCGTTTGATAGAGAGCATCGAGATAGTAGAAAGCCTTAAAGGATTTGAGCTGAGAGCTCTTTCTTGAAAAGTAAAGGCCAATTTTCTGTTTTTCCCAGGCAAAATGGCCAAAAATTGAAAGCCTTACAACTCAATCAAAAAGATCGTATATCCTTGAAGGGTATGGGTGTGGGTGTGGTTTCCTCGACACCTACATCCATACTCACATCAAAATCGAGCTCAACTTCGGATTTCGATACTAAACTTTATAGGATTGAACTCGGTTTCAACTAGAACATATAAACTCATATTTATATGAAATTTAACATATGGCAATAGAAGTTTCAGTGTCGAAAAAAGTTCTTAGTCGTATTTGCGTGCAGTCGAGTAGTATCTACAGGTTTGGTGATTGACAGTTGATGATTGCATCATGAGAGACGAACTCAGTAAGTTGTGTGTCCTTTTAAATTGTATATGATGCATATATGTGAAAGTATGAAACTTAAATACAAAGTTGTTCATGAATAAAAATTGCATATGATGTTTTGTTATATAAATAAACGGTGATCTTGTTCATTCTTACAGAAATAAAAGAAGTTCTAGATTAAAAATAAGTCTCATGGTATTGATTTAACTCCAAAATTGTTTGTCTTTCTGATATTCACAATCGCGCAAATGAACCGTATGAGTGCTTCCATCTTCGAAAGTGAAAACAACTTGCTTGTTGAGACTGATTGGGATGCCGAAGTTGAACGCAAAGAACGGGTTGTCTCCATGATGTACGCCAGGACGGTTATCTATTGTAGCTCCATTGACTATACGTCCGTTGGTGTTCAGAAGTCCAACATTACGATAGTACTCATCACCAGCTGAGGTATCATGTCTGTGATAGCAACGAGGTCCATTGAAGTCGAAGGCGTTGCGAGAGTTCAACTGCACACTGCAATATGTAACTCCGGGAGACATGTTATTAGTGAGTTTCTTCCAAGTCGAAGCATATAGATCAAGACCACCGCCCAGATTTGAGTTTATAACGATGACGTCCAATGGTCCATTTCCACAGTCAATTTGGAGTACTTGACCACATAATTCAGGTCGCCACTTCAAATGTTTCAAAGATTCAATATTTCCGAGTGCGATCGGATAGACAATAGCATAACTGGATTTTGAAAGTTCGCATGCACCCACTTCGTAAGCACCATGATACGTTGTATGAACTCCAAAAACTTGACCACCAATTTTTGGCCATGTAGCAGACACATAATTGATAATCAAAAGTCCAAATAAAGTCAAAGACGAAACAATATTAATCATTTTATCACTTCAACTATAGTTTTTCTTGTTCGCTTTGTAAAACTTCTGAAAATAAAGAATGGCAAATATTAATGATTCGAGATTCTTTGCAACGAATAACTTGTGACATAAAATGGATCTATTGGTCAAAAATGATAAATTTCGGATATGATCGACAACTTCAAGTCAAGAAAACCACTGTTCAGTGTTGCTAATAATTCTAAAAGCACAATTTGACAACTTATGTTCTTCGTTCTGAAAAAGAACATGTGTAGAAAATGAGTATTTCATAGTTATCGATTGATCAGAAATTCTTTTAATGTATTATTATTATTATCTGTGATCATTTTGAATTTTTCTTTTGCGCTCTAGGATATTATCAGATTCATCGTATTATTTATAGAGCATATTATGTGACTGATTTCTTTAATTGCCGTTATTCATGGGAGTGACGAACAGTCATGCTTATTGAAGCAATCAGATATTTTATTTCTGTTTTGACAACATTAATTATTCCATATGGCAAATAATTTTATATCTTTAATTCATTGCTATAATTTATTGAATTTTTCTATATAAAAATAGCTACATAGTGACGATTAGCAGAAATTTTTATTCGTCTTATTAAAATAAAAAAAAACTTCTTCTGAATTCTAATATCTTCTGTGACTCGTATCCTACTCGAACTTTTGATTCACATTGTTCTTGTTCTGTTTTTCTGTCGGATTTGGAAAGAGGAACGATATTCAGATATGGATTTGCAGAAAATCGTTTTGATTTTTGTCAATACTCTTCAAAATTTACCCTTTCGAATCTCATTGATGATGCATTGTTGACAAATACATTTCAACATTCTTACCTACACTTTTCTATCATTTATTATAATAAATACTTGTCTATATATTTTGTTAGAAAGACAGTTAAACGGTAAGTTTATTTGTTAATTATTTCATTAATATCTAACTTTTGTTACATTAAATATTATTCAAGAAGAAGGCTCGAGACTCACGACAAACTAAAAAGAATGAGGATGGCACTGACCATGATCTAATTCACATAGTCGTAACTAAAAACATAATCATGTCAGATATTAGTATCGACTACCTTATTTCTTTGCTATTTTCCAGTGATAGCAATAATTTTTTAGAATGGAATAACTTCACAATGTATTCGAATGATAATGACGATGTTGCAAGAAAGACAACAATTCACTCTTGACTTTACCTGCTCTGTATGAAATTGTATGTATTTTGCTTGAAGAGGACGATCGAAAGTAAAGTAGTTGAATACAATAGTATAGTACTCGTTGAGTGTTGTGATCCACTATTTATATAGGGAAAGTTCTGTTGTTATCTTATTTTAGCATCGAAATAAATAATATGGTCATTAGTTGTGAGATTTTACCCATAATGATGTGATATGATGGCACAGAACAAATAATAGGGAAAGACAAGATTAAGAGAAAAGATTATGTATTGCAAATTATTAGAAGATGGTGGGATTTTTCCATTCTCATGACTTATTCTTTGATTTCCTGACGGAACGTGAGTAATTTCCCATCTAGTCCATGCTAATTCTTTTTTTTCTTTCTTTCTTTCCCATAACGTTATATTGATAATAAAGATACACTCTTTTCTATCGATCTCCATCTCGTTGTTTATATGTAAGAAATGTCCTTGATATGAAACATTTTCTGTATAAATATAGAAGCAAATTCCAATGATTTGATTCATCGAAGTATCATCATCATTGAAGAACAGTTCAGATTTTCAGAGATCGATTTTGTCGTCTCATTGTCCACTGTGCTCTAGGAGTCTGAAGGCCAAAAAATGTCTTTTGTTTTTGTTTAGATAGGTGTTATTTATATCATTTCATCAGGAATATTGTTCTAATGATTATAGGTACATGAAAGTTTTTAATAGAACCATTTAATATTGTTAAAATATCATCAATAGGATTCTGTGACACAGAGTTGAAGACACTGGAGACTAAATAATTAAGAAATAGCGTAGACCTACGAAAACGCACCAGTTTTAAGAATGAATAAAGTAACGATAAAAACTATTGATTATAGAAATTTGAAGAGCACCTATAATTATGTCGAATTAAGTTTTAAAAAACAGGGTGTGGGTGGGTGTGGGTGTGGGTGTGGGTGTGGGTGTGGGTGTGGGGGGGTGGGTGTGGGTGTGGGTGGGTGGGTGTGGGTGTGGGTGGGTGGGTGTGGGTGTGGGTGGGTGGGTGTGGGTGTGGGTGTGTGGGTGTGGATATGTGGGTGTGGGTGTGGGTGTTAATATGTGAGTAGAACACCCACACCCACACCCTACACGTCGTTTTTTTGTTAAAAACTAAATCATTATCCAATTAATAATAAGATCTTTGTTAATGTGAGAGAGAAATATGATGGTTGAAAGTCACAATAATATATTCATCAATGTAATTAATAGTGTGTATTCTTAGTTGATACGCTTAAATTGTTTGGAAATTATATTGGTAAAGTCATCATAACTGAAATAAAAAAGTGCGAAATTAATTTTTCTCTACCACGTTGACGAAAGATTCGTAATAAAGATGAAACTTCTTTCTTTCTATTGACAAACAGTGGATATTGGACTTAGAAAAGGTTTGAAATCATTTTTTTCATCCGAATAAATTCCCAGATGAACAATCATTACACATTTTAGCCTTTTGATTTGATGAATATTAGTTGGTGTCGAGGTTCGAAAAATATTCAAGTTTTCTTCACATATTCAAACATAAATTGGATGATATTTGTTCATTATCATTCGTATGAATACAACGTTGTGATTCAATATAAAGACTTCGCGAAATACATCATAATATCATCAAAGATCTGTTTAATATAAGAACAAGTCAAGGAATATGCATGAATATATATAGCCAATAATCATATCGTGCAAAAAAGATAAACTTAATCTCTACAATAAGTTTTAACCGAAATTACTTGTATATCTAAAATTTATTCATTTTCTTGTCTACAATATCACACAGATAAGCTTGATAACTTAAACCAAATTCAAATAAAATACACAATTGAAACATGTTATCTGTTGTTCAAAGATAATAAACAAGTTTTATCAAGTTGAATGTTCAACATAAATTTTCTAAAAACTATTTTTTTTTTGAAATAACAAAATGTTTATATGTATTTCTTTCATTGAATAATATGCTGCGAGATTTATATTCAAAAACAACAAACTTATCAAAATTTAAAATAACAAATTATTGATGCTGAAAAATTTATCGAAATTAATTTTTGTATTTGGTAGTAAAATTATTTTTGAATTGAAACTGGTAAAATTGATTATCTCTTCCGATCTATATATAAAGAAGAAAGTTTGTTTGTCTGTCTGTTCTTCATGCATTTGGTCCCTGTAAGAGCCAGTGCAACTGAACTTTGCATGAACTCTTCTTGCATCAAGAGAAAGGTCAAGGGCTATTTCTTTATCAGAAAATATGAGTCTTCCACTCAAAAAAGACCCACCTGTGTGCCCAACCAATCCGATTGCAGCTTTCAGTGGTATAGGATAGGAGAACTACATAGCAGCAGTCCATGATCACACTGAAGACATGTGAGGTTTTCGAGGACGGTGAGTTCGAAACAGGGATCTAATTTCCTTGAAATCTGATTGGTTCACCCGCAACCCGTGGCAATTCAACTGCTAAGAAACCAGTTAATCAAACATGCGTTTTCGAGAAAAAAAGTCAGGTATGGGCTTTCAGAGGCGGTGAGTTCCAATTAGGGATCCAACCACCTCGAAATCTTATTGGTTAGCCCGAAACCAATAGGAATTGAGTTTTTGGGAAAACGAATATCACTGTATGATCGGAGGAAGGACGTTAGGAATCGAAAGTCTATTGAGTTCGATGCCCTAGTGGAGCACCCGCGGCTCTACTGGGTGATCTATATCACATACAAATCGAATTTTGGGGAAATTGATTTCCTAGAAGTCGTGTGAGGTGGAGGTGTCGAATAAATGGTCTATGAGACTCAAAATTTGTTCATCATGAATATCGACTCCTAAGGTTGCTAAAGGGTGTGTCGTACAAAAATCTTTCTATTTGTCTTTCTTGGCAACCAATCGGAATTCCATGTGATTCAGTAGTAAAAAGTACGATATATTGTCGTAATTCTCCCGATCAATCAGTATTGTGAACGCCACGTTCAAGATCAATTAGATGTGTCGCTGTGCTTAGTTTCAATCAAAGCGGATTTTTCTTGCAACGCTATCGAAGAAGAGTGTGAGTGTGGGTGTGGGCGAGTGTGAGTGTCAATGTGGGCGGGTGGGTGTGTGTGAAGAGGAGAAGAACAGCCCACACCACACCCACATCCACACCTATATCCACACCCACACCCACACCCCCACACCCACACCCTCTCTACTTGAAATGATTATATAAGTGTATCATTCTTTGGAGATTCGGATCAAGAATAGAACGAATATTTTCTTCTATGAATAATCTCATAGTTAATAGCGTTTTCTGTTATTTAAAATGAAGAACAAATATTACTCGATCGTCGTATATATATAGACAAGCAGTTATGTAGAACAAGCCAACATATCGGACCAATTAAGTAGTAAAATTTAATATTAAATACAATTTTCAGGGAGACGATAGAATCTATTAACTAGTATCTCATTCGTGTATAGGCGTTTAAAATAATAATATTCATTTGTATAGATTGTAATCCCAAAGGAAGGATTCTTGTCTCATTAGTTTGTAATACTGTATATTAAATATAATATGAGAAATGTTGACAGTTTTCATCTAAGAGACAAACAGCAGAGGATCTAATTTTTACTAGAGTAAAATAAAAAGTTGAGAAAAAGATAAATATTTGCACATGATCGATTGAATAGATTCTACAGAAAATCTGATTAAATATTTCCTCAATGATTTCTTCACATACATAATAGGAAGTAAAATCTTTTTTGATCAGAAATTGTGTTTTAGAATATGATTACTGATTAGTATCCATGATAATATGTCTTTGTAACGTTGTCAATTTTTTATTTTCATTTAAAATATTCTTTATGAATTCATATTGAACAAAGTTTGATGAAGAAAAGATATTGGCATAACAAGTAAAAAACCTATTTAGTTGTTCCAGTTTTCTTGTCATAAACATCCTTCTTAGATATCATTTGACAGCTTTTATTTTTTTTTCTCTTCTTACATCGTGAGAACATGAAAAATTGCTCAAATAATAATTATCAGTAATAATTTGATCCTTAGTAAGAAGAGAAAGATAAATATTTGATCTATAAATAAATATGCAGAAGAACCCAAGAGAAGCATTTTGAATTTGAAAAAAAACAGCAGAGATGAGTAGAGACAAACGAATACTATCGATTGCCAGTGGTATTGTTATGGTTTTGGTTTGTATTTTTTACATAATGAGCAATACTTTACCATCGTGGTATGTCATCTCATAAACTCTGCATAGAATAGCCGTTAATAAATTGACTTCGGCTATTCTAAGGTCAAAGAGAAGGGAATATAATAGTTGTGATAGAGTAGTGTTTATCTTTCAGTTGTCATTCTAACCTAATATTCTAAAAAGAAAGAGTTCTGTCGCACGAAATAATGTGTCTCAGATAAAATATGTTAGCCTTTATTTTAAGGACTTCAGTAGAACTTGATCCAAAAGAAATTACTTTAGTAAACGAATTTTTAACACAGTTTGGTTTTACAGAACAGCTTGAAACAGAATCAAATTCAATAGTAGCGACTACTGGTCTTTGGCGCTCTTGTGGATCTTTTTCTGGGATAACGAGATGTATTGATCTTCCCTCATCATGTTCGTCATTAATCGGTAACACCACTGATGTATGTAACAAAATGATGGCAGCTCGAGTATTCGTCACTATTGCTTGTATTATATCAGGAATTTCCGGTATATGTTTCTTCGCATGTACACTAGAAATTATCAATAAGAATCAGATGGCAATTAGCATAAGTAAGATTCTTGCAGTTGGTTCCTTTATAATGGGTGTTATTGGTCTTGCAGTTGGTATTACTTTTTCTACTTACACTGGTATATTACCGATAAAGGCGTCGGTGAGTGTGGCAGCGATATTAGCAATAGTGGCTGTTTTCATAAATATGCTTCTTTGCTGCTGCTTTGGCACTGGATATTCGTTGAACATCCAAAACATTATTCAATGTGCATCCGAAGCTTAATCTATAGCACTCTCCCTTAACTTTTCATTTGTATATCATTTTGATTTTACTGTCTCTTTTTTTATTAACTCATTTTATGAATAAAATACATCTAAAAAATAATTCATATCTCTGTGGGCGTATGCCACATATTTATATCAGATATTAATTAGAGTGTGTTATGTGACGACAGATGTTAGAGTGCGATGGTCTTCTCCTTATCGTCACCCTCTATCACGAATAATATCTATATATCTCTACAAGAAACGTCATCAACGTGGAACTAATCCAACGTAACATCTGACGATAAAAGACGACATAAAGCTCAATTCGGATAGCGACTGGGAATTCTACTGCCGATTAGATTTGTCTACTGAATATTTAATCAATCGACAATTTGAACAAGCTGCAGCAGAATCAAGCAAACTAGATAAAATCGGAGGGTGGATGTGAGTGTGAGAAGAAAAAACACCCACACACCCTGCTCAGTAGTTCTCCGTTACTACCGAATGCTGCAATCTCATTCGTCAGATACATAGGTGAGTCTGTTGCAGGTGGAGGACCGATGTTTTTTCGACAAAAAGTAGTCGTTGATCTCCTCCTGGATAAGAGGATGGTCTCTGAAAAGTTTCGTAGCATTTGCTCGTACTATATCCAAATGCATAAAGGACAGACAGACAGACAAACATTCTTCTTTATATATTGGATATTCCTGTAGCCTTATCCCCTTATTCCCTACCCCTTATAGCCTTATAGTCCTTGAGGACCTATGGGTACTTCTATATAATAGTCTTTGAGGCCTTCCGCTTATAGGCTTATTTGACCTTTGACCCATGACCCGACACAGACAGATACACACAGACACACTGAATAATATATATGTAGATTATATGACTTTATATCGTTGCTAAAATTAGCATTTACCTCCAGGATTCTAATCACTATAAACAATGTTTAAACATCAAATATTATATCACTGTAACAGTCGACAGAGAAATTCATCCTATGGATATTTATAGACAAATTATGAAAACGAAGATATTGTGCTTCGAACCGTATATCTATCTTTTTCAAATTATCATCAACATACGATAGATGCACGTATGACATGTATCCATGGAGACATACATGTAATAATAAATCTCGAATAAATCGTAGTATTAGTAACGGCCGTCTGCGCCATCAAAAGGCAGCAGTTATTATCAATTACATGCTTGTTGTAGAATACTTGTCAAAAGTTTTATCCTTCCATCGACAAGCATAATTCAGACAAATTTAGACATTTATTGAAGACAAACGTGAAATGCACTTATTCTACTACGTAACAGAACGACAAAATAGAACTGTAAAAAGTGATTTTTTTTTCTTATTCTTCTCCTAGTGAATTGCATCTCTCTCTGTCACAACGTAAAAAAAAATAAAGAACGAACTTGATAACCTATAAGATTGTTTCTTTCACAATCATTCACTTTCTTGAGTTGGTAAAATTAAAATGGGTATAACGACAAGTAATAGTATATCGTCTTCATGTGTCCATCTTAGCAATGCTGCAAATGAAACACTAGAACCAAACTTAAAAATTTTCTGGCTTCATATTTCAGCTGATGAAAATGAGTCAGTGCCTACTGATGTTATCACTCAACAAGAAGAAGTTCGTTCTATTCTTGGAAATATTCAATTAAAAACATTCAATGATGAAATAGAAGTGGATGGTGAAATTCGCGACATGCCTTTGATGGATAAGGTGCTTCTTATTGTAAATGATATTGGAGCAAATTATGTTCTTTCACGTGTTCACCATCGCTGTCAAATTGCTGTCGTTTTCGTTTATAATGTTATTACAGACAATGAACAAGAATGGAATGATTATCAGAAAGTTAGACGTATTTCAATTGAACAAATTTTGCCACGAATACAATCGTTTTATGCACGTTGGCTTCGTTATAGAACTGGCTATTTTTCTGTTGATATATTTAATCAGAATTTAAACACAATATTAGATCGTTCATCAATTGATACAAATGGTTCATATGTCTTTTCTCAAGTTCTTCTTGATATTCTTTTAGGAATTAAATCAGATCCAATCAAAGATCGAAATGAATTTACTGAAGAATGTGCTAAAGAATATATTGATCGAAAGGAAGAATTCAAGGCTTTACAATCTTTCAATAATGATTATAAAGCAAAAGATGCATTAAATTGGTATACAAAACCTATATTTCTTCACTTTCAGTTGAACAAAGCACTTCGAATGCAAAATATTCATTTGCTCTTTCTATATCGATTTTTCATCCGTGATATTCGAGCTCAATTAATTGAGAATCAATGTCAATCATCAATTAAAGTTTATCGTGGTCAAAGAATGTTTAAACATGAGTTGAAACAATTGAAAAAGTACATTCATCATAAGATTTCAATAAATTCTTTGTTATCAACAAGTTTGAATCCACAAATGGCTTTATTTTATCTTTGTGAACCTCAAACAAATGTTATTACTAATTCTAACAATGTCTCAACAGTATCGACGGAACAAAATGATACTACAATATCGGTCTCGAATAAAATATGGCCTGTTGATGAAGATGATCCTGACACTGTACTAACAGGAGAAGTTTCTGTTCTTTTTGAAATCGATGCTGATCCACATCATGGAATTAAAGAGAAAAGACCTTTTGCTGATATTAGTCCATTTAGTGAATTTGAAGAGGAAGAACAAGAAATTCTTTTCATGCTAGGAACTGTATTTCGTATTGAAGAAATAAAAGAAGAAAAGAATGATCTGTGGATTATCAAATTATCTTTATGTGACGATGAAGCAGAACATGATATTGAATCTCTATTGAATTATTTGAAAGATGACTATGAGAATTCATCAAAAGATGGTATAGCCGGTACAATAACTCTTTGTTCTTTCTTATTAGACATGGGAAAATTGGATATGACTGAAAGATTAATCAGCCGTACATTAAAAGAATTATCATCAAATGATATTCTCAACAAAGCTATATGTTATTATCAGTTGGGTAATGTCGCTCTACATCGTAATCAATACGATATTGCACAGAATTTATTAAAGAAGGTCTTGAAATTATTACCGAAAGACCATCGACTCATTGCAAATACATATATCTCTATTGGAAATGTTCAACGGTATGAAAAGCATTTTTCTAGAGCTATGAAATCATACAACACAGCATTGACAATTTGGAAAGAAAATATCAAAGAAGATCAACTTTTAGTTGCCACATGCTATGCCAGTATTGGTTCTTGGTATCGTATTAAACGAGACTTTCAGAACGCTCTTGAATATTATCAAAAGGCTTTGGCAATTCGTGAAAAGTATATTTCTATTCCTCATTTTACTATTGGTAATTTACATGTTAAGTTGGCTCAAATTTATCTAGATCGTAATCAAGCAAAACTTGCTTTTCCTCATTATGTTAAAGCACTTGAAATTTGCTCAAAATGTTTACCACATGATCATCCTTTATTGTCTAAAGCGTACTATATTGCTGCTATTACTCACCAAAACTTTGATACCGGTAGAAAAACCATCGACTTCTTTGACAAAGCTTGTGTAACTGACTATCGAAATTCATCTTTACCACAGAAATGGAATCCGCTAGGTATAAAATTTTACCATTGTCCACGATGCCGGCAAATGGTGTGGATCTACAATGTTTTTGGAATTTTTTATGGACGGTCTTGTTTTCAGTGTATGAAAAAACTTGTCACACGACATCCCGTCAATCAAAAGATAAACATTGATTTATTCAAGTTATCCGATGGTTATTTGGAACAACGTATACTTCAAAAATCTTATGCGTTTCGTGAAGTGCAAGATGAACCCTTAGAATCATTATTTGATTTAGACAATCGGGGTGTGGGTGGGTGTGGGTGTGGGTGTGGGGTGGGTGTGGGGGTGG